CTAGTTTTAATCTCTGACAGGCTGAAATCCAGTTTTTCCAACACCATTTATTAAATAGGCTATCTTTCCTCCAATGAGGGTGGTTGGCTCTTTTGTCAAAGATAAACCTCATATTTTTTTACCAATACTTCCACTGTTGGTAAATAATTATTTAAAATAAATCCAGCCTTGTATAACAAAAGAAAAAAAGCCATGTTAACAGAAAACTTTATATACTGCTGATGATTCTAGTACATTCCTTACCTCCCTAAGGTCAAGATATTAATTTTCAAGAGGATGAGGCAGGAGAACAGAAAATTGAGGCCAGCATGAGCAGGTTAGCAAGGCCCTGTTTCAAAAAGAAAAGGGCTGGGGATGGAGCTCAGTGATAGTATGTTTGCCTTTCATGTGCAAAGTCCTGGGTTCAATCATCAGTACGAAAAAAAAGACATTTTATCTCACTCAGAGCTTTTTGACCATTTTATTCTATGAGATTTATAGGGCCATAATGCTCACCTAAAATCTAAAGCCTGATTCAAAATTAAGAATTTCCTGGTTATTAGAAAAGTAATTATTAATACACCATAAAGTATATAATATTCCTAGTGGAACAATGCCAGGAGCAAAATGGAAATATATTCACTGTAAGTGGGATTAACAAAACCAAAAAAGCTTCAGGATATATATATATATATTTTTTGGTACTGGGGATTGAACTCAGGGCCTTCACACTGAGCTACATTCCCACCCCCACCCCCTTTTTGAGACAAGGTTTCACTAAGTTGACAAAGTGCCTCCATTTTGCAGTCTTCCTGCCTCCACCTCTCAGAGTGCTGTGATTACAGGTTTGCAACCATGCCTAGCATCAGTTCTTGTTTTGATGCCAAGTTTAGGTTAGGGTTTACAACCAAGTAAGTGTCTAAAACAAAACAAATTAAAAACAAAAAAATAATAACAACTGAAAATCAAAATTTTCTTGATGAAGAATCAGTGGACTTGCAGCTAATAAGATCTAAATTTTTAAGTAATAGGAATGTAACTATAAGCCATTGACCCAACATCATCCAGGAATGATTTCATATAAATTGAATGTTGCAGATTGATGACACTTCATTCAAACATTTCAAACTTTCTTCTTTTATCCAAATTGTTGTAATTTTTTCTAAAATATTTCAACCCTTTCCTGGTAATTTATATACCATAAATCATTAACTCTATGCTTTATGGTAAGGAAGCAATGTCCTTGAGTCTTGTTAAAGTAAGAAATGTTTGCTTCCCATTAATAGATATAGGCTCCAGCTATGCTTTTGTGACTTCTTTTTTGTTTTTATGTTTTTTGTCTTTCGTGGCTGTGAACCTCCCTTCTTACTTCTCCCTAATAAAACAATTAGCAAAGGCAAGTAATATCTACTAAATAATTGCTAAAGACAGATGGCAATGATCTTGAAACCTCTTTTTCTTATGAATTACAAGTGAGATTTTAATATAAATGATTCTAGTGTAACTAGAAAATTTAGGCAAGAAGTACTTTAAGAGTACATATTTAACAAGTGTTTTTTCTTTAAAGAATAAAATTATTGTCTTTCTTAAATTTACACCAATTCATGCCTTTTTAGTAAATTTTACTTTTCTGGAAGTTGGCATATTTCATTCCTCCATGCCTTTGCACATGGAACTACCCCTCTTAAAGTGTTATTTCCTTCCTTCTAAATTTAGTGAACAAAACTCAGTGCAAGCTTCCTCTCCTTTAGGAAGCATCTTCTGACACCTGCTCTCCAGGTTTTAGCAGACCACCCAGTGCACACCTCTCCCACTTCACTTTGTCACTGTGCAGTAATAGTTGGTCTATGTTCCTGTCCTCTCTTACTTCAAGAAGTTTATGACATTTAATGCAATGTTTTGTCTCCAGAACCTATCATAATGCCTAAAACACAGTAAGCACTTATTGCTAGAGGATGAAAATACATGAAATGATGTGAGCAAATAAATGATTATAAGAGCAAATTGGGCCAGGGATGTAGCTCAGTGTCACCCTGCCCGCCTTGCAAGTGCAAGGTCCAGAGTTTGATCCCCAGTACCGGGGGGGGGGGGAGCAAAGTTTTTAAACTGTCAAAACTAATAATCCAAAATAGCAAACAGGTTGCTAGGGTGTTCTTCCATCTTTTATTTATGCCCTGTCTGGCCTATGGTGGGGCGGCAGACATAGCTCTTGCCTTAACAGTTCAAATTTCAGTAGAAAGCGTTCCCATCCCAATTGGTCTGTTTGCAGTGCTCTTTCAACACCTGACTGCTGTTTGGCTCTGAAGCAATAGAAGCACAAAGGAGTTGATTCTCATTGGAGTTTCAGGATGGATTCACTGAATGGCAGTTGAATGGTGCCTTAAAAGATGAACGAAACTAGTCTGCACGTAGCCAGGGGCTCTTGAAGGTTTCAGCAGCTGAGCAGCATAATTGGATAATATTTTAGAAATAATCTTTATTTATGGGGTAGTGCACAGACAGATTGGAGAGGTACAGCAGGCAGAAAGGCTAGTCTGGTGGCTGCTGCAATTTTATCTTCGAGTGAGAAATGCAGTTAGAGGGAAAGGATTGGAGGTTTTGGCTAAAGGGACAGTTAATAACACTGGACAATTATTATACCTGGGAAGGCGAGTCATAGAAAAAATGAAAATACTGTCTAGGGTTTTTAGATAATAGGAGATCCTGAGGTTGGTTCAAAAGTTTAGAGCACATTTTCTTGCAAGTCTTAAAAAGAAATCTCAGCCCTTTATGGTTAGTTGACTTACAAAATGAGTATCATTTATAATATATAAAATGACTATTGAAAAAGGTGAAATCTAGTGGCTTTGGGGGAAAAGATACTTTATTATTATTACAAAAACTTAAAAGCACTCAGAGAGGAAAAAATAATAAAATGCTTCTCACGAGACTATTCCTATGTTACCTATAGACACACTGCATTTTTGTATACCAGCTTTGGTCTAAGAAGGATATTCTTAAGATGAAAAATATTTAATATTATACTAACTCAAAGCACATATGTAATTATATTTTTCCAATTACTGGTTTTTCTAAGGTTTATTGTGTAAGCTGCTCTTTCCTCGGCACTTAACAGAAAAGAGAGCAGCTCCCTAATGTTGCTAAGGTAGAGGTAACATTTAAGTGTTTTCCCAACTGCTTAATTATAAAATCTAAATGTGGGCATCTCATTGTGCAGGTGCGAGTGTTTATCAACCAGTTGTACCAGCCAAGTGTGGTGCGAGAAATCAGCAGAAACCCAGACTTGCAGGCCATCCGAATTGCTTCTGTGAACCCCATCCTGGACCCCTGGATATATATACTTCTGAGAAAGACAGTGCTCAGTAAAGCAATAGAGAAGATCAAATGCCTGTTCTGCCGCATTGGCGAGTCCCGCAGAGACCGTTCAGGGCAACACTGCTCTGAGAGTCGAAGGACATCTTCAGCCATGTCCAGCCACTCTCGTTCTTTCTTCCCTCGGGAGCTGAAGGAGATCAGCAGCACCTCTCAGACCCTCCTTTACTTGCCAGAACTAAGTGAAAACAGTCTTGGAGGCAGGAATTTGCTTCCAGGTGTGCCTAGCATGGGCCAGGCCCAAGAAGAAACCACCTTACTGAGAACTTTGCGAATATCAGAGACTTCAGACTCCTCACAGGGCCATGACTCAGAGACTGTCTTATTGGTGGATGAGGTCGGTGGGAGGAACAGGGATGGGCCTGCCCCAAAGGGGAGCTCCCTGCAAGTCACATTCCCCAGTGAAACACTGAACTTATCCGAAAAGTGTATATAGTAGTCAAAGAAAGAAACACAGCACTATTTCTGGAACCTTATAAAATCCTGTGCAATAGACACATAAGTGAAACATTTAGCTCTGCTCAGAAGTGCTACTACCTTCATCCTGTGGCTCACATTAGAGAGAGAACATAGGGCCTCCTGAGCATTTTTCAAACACTCAAATTATTTCACGTGAGTCCTGAGGCCTGAAGCACATTGGTTGACACTCCTCTATGACACAGGATTGCAGTCACAACTTGATGGGTGGGAAAAGCTACCTTTGGTTTTTCTCCTGGGTAGGAAAATGGCATGTTATTTTCATAACATCAAGAGCTGTACATCTGGCACACCGCAGAGGCCCAGATACTGGAAGGGCTGGCTCTATCCAATATACTATGAGGACTACCATATGGCTGATCTAAGTGTCTCACTAAAGCATGAAATGTGAATTTTTATTGTTGTAAATATTTAAAGTATTTAAAGTATTTTCTTCTCTATGAGAAGGTTTATTGTTAATACAAGGTATAATAAAGTTATGGTAACCCCTCTCCTCCCAGTGTAACCAGGTGAAGTTGCAGATGGTAGATTTATTTTTCACACACAAGTTCAGACTGAGGTGTTGAAAATCCAGTGAAACTAATATCTATAAAATAGATATAATTTTTAAAAGTTTAATACCATCAAAATAAAGAAAAATACCATGTAAGATGTGAAAATTACAGTTCAAAATACTATAGTTCTTTCCAAGCTATGTATAATAGTAAAAAAAATTTATTGACATCACATTTATTTATCCAGAAAACTATGATTTCAAAAGAACCTAACATGTTGGTAAATATTTTCAACTATTGCCCCTGTTAATTGACACTTTTTAAAATATAACAAATTTTTGAGGTCTTTACTCATAATTGAAGTGTATAATAAAGAAATTATAAATCAAAGCAGCTTGTTTTCCCCATGAAAGGTGTATACTTTTGTTTCCCTAAGGAGTAATCTAGAATATCTTTTAAATTTAAGAGAAAGATAAATTGTACCATAAAGACATTTATTTTGACATAGAGAAGGATCTCAGATGCGGTTAAATTTGCCTTTCATGTATCTCAAGAGTTTAACAACGTAAAGGTGCAGAACTTAGGCACCTAAGAGTCACCTTCTAAGTTTTGTGTGACACCTAGGAACACTGTACGCATATTTGAAGGACCTTTCTCAAAGAAATATTAAGCATGTTTTGTTGCTTAAAGTGTTTTTGTGAACTGCTTGGTTGTTGATTAAATTCTGAGCCTAATATCGATATGTTCTAAGTTGTGCCAACTGAAATTATTTTGGAGATTATAATAAATAAATACATTCAAGCTGAGTTGCATATCCTCGATCTTGGAAAACTTGTGTTCTTTTGGTTTGTTACAGGGATCTTCTATATCCTTTTAAATCAAAAACTTTTTAAAGACTTCTTTGAGAGTGATAATTTCAAATTATCATTAAAGTTAGGAGAACAGTACAAAGCCTTGGATCCACCCTGTGGCAATGGAGTGTACCCAAGATTACCAGTTTGTATGGATGTTGGGACTGACAACAGTATGCTTAAGTAGCACACATAAAGTACCCAAATAATTATTACAAAACATTAGAATAATTTTTTGGTCCTTCCTATTTTTAATTTCTCCAGATCAGTGAACCTCAAACTTTAGCCTACATGAGTCATCTGGAGAGTTTATGACAGCACGGTGTCTGACTCAGTGGGTCTGGGGTGTCCACATTTCTAAAAAACTTCAGGATGGTGCTGACACTGCCAGTATTAGGACACACTTCAAGCAAGAATGAAGTCATGATTTGCTATTTGCAAGTTTTTAAAGACATTTGTGGATGATGTCAAAAAATGGGTCCATCATCTTCACAGGCCTACGGGCACAGTGATTCTCATTGGAGGTAAGGCAGCTTCGGAAAAGCAGCATGCAACTTAAACTTCTAAAATGTTCTGTTTCCCCACTCTAGCTAATGACTACAAAACAATTTTTTCAGAAAATATTTTAGTAATGAAGGATTTTGTTTTACCTTCATGACCATGGCCAACAGAGACAACAGCTAGATCACCCATGTTCACAGGTGAAAAACAAAAGCTTCATTCACAAGCTAGTGCTATTAAGACTCATGACATAATCTCATTCATCTTTAAATTCGCCATCCAGAACACCAATTGGCTCAATCTTTTCTTAGCTGAAATACCATATGCTATAAAATTTATCCTTTAAAATATACACCCTTTAAAATAGTTCAGTATGTTCACAAAATTGTGTGTCTATCACTGCTATCTAATAGCAGAACATTTTCATCCTCCCTAAAATAAAGCACATTCCCATTTGCAGTCACTTTCCATTCTCCTCTCTCCTAGGACCTGGCAATCACTGGATCTCTGTGGATTTGTCTCGACATTTTACATAAATGAATCATACACTGTGTGGGTTTTTGTGTTCAGCTTCTTTCACTTAGAATGTTTTCAAGGGCGCTGATGTTGCAATATAAATCAGTACTTCCTTCTTTTTACGGCTGAATAATTCTCCATGGTATGAATGTACTACATTTTCTTCATCTATACAACAGTTCATGACCATTGAGTTGTTTCTACTTTTTGGCTACTGTGAATAATTTTACTATGAGTATTTTTGCTAGTAAGTTTTTGTGTAAAGATATATTTACAATTCTTTTGGGCATTACCTGAAAGTAAAATTGCTAGGATGCACAGTACCTGCAAGTTCAATGTTTTGAAACCATCTGTTTTTTTTCCTGTACCATTTTACATTCCCACAGGCACTGTACAAGGGTTTCAACGTTTCCACATCTTTGTCAATACCTGTTATTGGCTGTATTTTTTACTGTACACCTATGGGTGTGAAGTGGCATCTTACTGAGGTTTTGATTTGTATTTCCCTAATGACTAATGATTTGGAGAATTTACTCATATGCTTATTGGCTAATTGTACATCTTGGGAATTGTATATCTAATTGTATATCTTCCCACCTGTGTCCATTTTTAAATTGAATTATGTGTGCATTAATCAGTTAAAGCTGCTACAATAAAGCACCACTGACTGAGTGGCTTAAACAACGGTCTATCTTCTTAGAGTTCCAGAGGCTAAACGTGCAAGATCAAAGTGACAATAACAGCAGGGCTGATTTCTTTTGAAGCCTCTCCCCTTGGCTTGCAAATGGCATTTCTCAATGTGTCCTCAAATGACCTTTTCTCCATGTGTGCACATCCCTCGTCCATCTTTCCCTACCCTCTGGTTTGGTCTCCCCTTGACCTAAACTACAACTTCAACAAACAAATCTAAGGAATATACAGTTCAGTTCATTTTATTGTTTACTCTGGCTTACACTTAAAAGCATAACCAAGGAAAAAGACTTCAATCTCATTTAGTCATCTATTCCATAATTATTTGTACAACTTAACAACAACGTAGTGAAAAGATGGTTTTTGGAGTGGTATTTAATGCTGCAGGACACTGTTCAGACCATTTAGAGAGCCTCAAATTTTCTATGCAAGGAAGTTCTTACTGTCTGGCTGGCATTGAGTCGTATCTGGTCCATATAGGATATAGCAGACAAGAAGGAAATTTTTACACCATCTCATAGTCTTTGATACAATCTAATCAATAGTGTCGATTGTGTGAGAAAAGGTAGTGAAATGGCCAGTTTTATTCAAGTGGTGCTTTGTCCAGGAGACCACAGGGTCGAGTCTTTCACAAATGAAAGTAGCCCTTTCCACAGGTTATCTTTTTTTTTTTTTCTTTTTTCTTTTTGGTACCGGGGATCAAACTTGGGACCTTGCGCTTGCGAGGCAGGTGCTGAAACCACTGCACTAAATCCCTGGCCCTCCATAGGTTTTCTACAAACACAAAGGGCCACAGAAAATACAGACACACTATTTACTGTTAGTGATGTTTTTTGGCCTCAAATATTAATACAGAAAAATCTGTTATACAAAACATTCATTTTTCCTAAGAATAAGAGCTTTCCTGCATAGAAAATCTTAAGCTCTCTAAATGGTCTCAACAGTGTCTCATGGCAAGAAATAGCAACACTCCAAAAAACTACCTTTGCATTACATAGTTGTAAAGTTGTACAAATAATTATGGAACAGATGACTAAACAAGGCTGAAATCTTTTTCCTTGGTTATGCTTTTAAGTATAAGCCAAAGTATAGAACTGCTTGTACAAATTTCAGAACAAAATAAGCTGTGATATTTACTCTCTGGCCACTCCCTCCACCTCATACCCTTTTTCCACCACAATAAAAGCTGACACTACACTGCTAAAATTATTATCTCATAATTACCTTCCAGAAATGGGACCAGACAAAGGATACTTATACCAAGAGAGAGTATTTAATCATGCTGATTGAATCAAACCTACAAACAAATGGACTTAATAGGTATCTACAGAGTATTCCATCCAACAACAGAAAAAACATTCTTCTCACCAGCACATGGAACTTTCTCCAAAATAGACCACATGCCAGCTCATAAATCACGCTTAAGTAAATGCAAATGAATCACAATTATCCCATGCATATTAATAGTTCGCAGTGTGATGAAACTAGTAATCAAAGCAAAATTACAAAAGAAATTATGCAAACACATGGAAATTAAACAATACCCTCTTAAATAATCCATGGGTCGTAGAAGAAATTAGACAGTCCCTAGAATCAAATGATAATGCCAGTACAACATACTGGAACCTATGGGACAAAATGAAAGCAGTCTTTAGAGAAAAGTTTATAGCTGTGACTGCCCATATCAGAAAAGCAGAACAAATTCAAATAAATAACCCAGTGATGTATCACAGGGTCCTACAACAATCCAAATCCAAAGCTAGTACAGAAAGTAAATTATAAAGGTCAGAGCAGAAATTAATGAAATTGAGACTAAAATCAATAGAAAGAATCAATGAATCAATCACTTCTTGGCCTTTTGGCTAAGACCAAGTGTAGAATCAAAGAGCTGGTTCTTTGAAAGAATAAACAAAACTGACAAACCCCTAGTCAATCTCATCAAAAAAAGGAAAGGAAATACCCAAATAGATGCAATTAGAAATGAAAAAGGTGAAATCACAAAGGATTCTGCCAAAACACAAAAAATTATTAGTAACTACTCTGAGAAATAATACCATAAAAAGGAGACATAGCAAAAGAGAGTACATAATCATACTGATTGAATCAACCCTTCAAACAAATGGTCTTAATAGATATCAACAGAGTATTCCACCCAACAAAAACAGAATACACATTCTTCTGATCAGCACATGAGACATTAGAGAACTTGTATTCTAATAAAATGGAGAATGCAGACGAAATTGATAGATTCCTAGATACATATGAACCAGCAAAGTTGAATCAATAAGGCATAAAATCTCTGAATAATCCACAATCAAGGCAATGAGATTCAAGAAGCAATTAAAAAAAACTACCAAATACTAAGTTTTCTTAGGTCCCAATGGATTCGCTACTGAATTCTACAAGAACTCAGGGGAAGCTCTAACGTCAAAACACCTCAAACTCTTTAATACAAATCAATAAATGGAACACATCATGTAAATAAGAGAAAGGACAAAAACCAGATGATCATCTCGATGATGCAGTAAAAGCCTTTGACAAAATCCAATATCCATTCATGATTTTTAAAAAATGAAGAAAATAGGTATTAGAGGAACTTATCTCAATCCTGTAAGAGTCATTTATGGCAAACCAATGACCAATATCATATAAAAAGAAAAGAAACTGAATGCTTTTCTTTTAAAATCAGGAAGATGATAAAGATGTCTGCTATCACCACTAATGTTCAATATAGTTTTCCAAACATTAGCCAGACCAATTAGACAAGAGAAAAAAATAAAAGGGATATGTATAGGAAAGGAAGAAGTCAAATTATCATTATTTGGAAATGACATGATCCTCTAAATAGAAGAACAAAAAACAGAATCTACCAAAAGACTTCTAGAATTAATACTCAAATTCATTAAGCAGGATACGTAGTAGGATACAAAGTCAACATACAAAAATCAGTAGCATTCCTATACATCAATAATAAATTCACCAAAAAAGAAATTAGGGAAACAATATTCTTCACCATAGCATCAAAAAAAATTCCTAAGAATTAACCTAACCAAGGAAGTGAAAGACCTTTACAATGAAAACTACAGTACTCTGAAAAGGGGGACAGAAGAGGATATTAAAAAATGAAAAGATATCCCTTGTTCCTGAATAGGCAGAACCAATATAGTCAAAATGGCCATACTTCCAAAACTGTAGTCCACTGCCTTTGTCTTAATATCAACTCCCTTAGATAATCAGAGGATGGATAGACAGTGCAGTGTGATTGATTTATTACCCAGTTTTCACTGGTTTCCACCAGGTCTCTCTCTCTCTTTTTTTTCCCATTAAGTTTACTGGTGCATTTTAGGTATACAATAGTTACATTCATCATGGGGATCTTGTACCTTTACATGATGTATCTTTGTTCTTATTTTTTCCCCATTGCCCTGGCCTCCCTTCAACCCTCCACCCTTCCCTATTTACAAAGACTTTGTTTCCATGTTTTTCCTTTTCTCACATTTTTTCTTTCCCACGTCTCTGTTAACCCCTGCTCCTTTCCTGCAAGACAATCCTGCTGCTGTCTGTATTCTCCCTCACCCGCCTTCTCCCAAGGTCACTGCTAAAAGCTCTCTCACTAGGGCGGCACTCTCAGCTTTCTGCCTTCCTCAGGTCCTATTGCCATCAGCAGCCCCACACATGGGGGTGTGTGGCTCTTACGATGGGGGCTGTGAGCAATGAGCAGGATTCCGATTGGTGCAAACACTCCTAGTGTTTGTGGGAAGAATGGGAGAATGTCTGCTGTGGGGCATATTTAATTCCTCCTTTTCCCAGGAATTTGCCCTTCTTCTATCCCCTGAACTACACTCTTCTCAGCACTCAGAACTAGGTTCTTCCCTAATTGGGGTTGTGCACCTGCCTTCAGCTTCTCCAAAAGCCGGCCAGTGCCCTCTCAAACATCTTTCAGGGGCCGGGGATTTAGCTCAGTGGTTTCGCTGCCTGCTGTGCAAGTGCAAGGACCCGAGTTCGAACTCCGGTACAAAAAAAAAAAAAACCACTTCACACACTTTCGGTTTCTCTGATTCGCTGGCCTGCGAATATCTCACTTGCTGTGTGGGGAGGGCAGAAAGGTTAGGAGCCTTTTCCAGTGGCCTGGCTTCCACTGCCATACTGGCTCTCTCCCTTAGAGCACTAGATACCCTCCCAAGATGGCGTGCACACTGGACTTGGGATGGAAGGGGTACTATGGTCCTGTACAGTCTACCTTCCCTTTCCAAGTCTCCTGTACTGGATTTGAACCTGATGAGTTTCTCTTCCTGCCTTCCTCTATTTAGCTTTTTCTGTCATCCCTGTTTTGTAGTACCTAAGCATTCGGGTGGACTTCTAGGAGCTTTTCTGTCTCATTGCTCCCACTTAGGCGGCCATGATGGTACTTCCACCTCTCCTACATCTTATGTCTAAACTATTTTATATCTTATACCTAGGTAGAAAGGAGACAAATTTATTCTATCAATGCTAATACAGTAGAAGCAATAGGTTCCTTAATTCAGTGGTTACATGCACTCCATGCTGGGTTTTGCCCCTTTGGAAGTTGAGGACAGACCTTATGCCTTATGCCTTATTATGGAATAATCTCCAACTGATAAAAATTTGCTCTACAATATAAGGAGTTACTTCTCAAATAAGAAAAAGATTATGAAGTTCTCCTTTCTTAAAATCAGAAGAAAGTGAGGCTAAGTATCTCCAAACAAATTCGAGTTCTTTTTAAATAGAGCTCGCATTTACTGAGCATTTCATGTGTTAGAAATCACTCAAGGTACTTACTATATATCACTTTCACATAAGAAAGAAACAAAGTAAATCAACCTAATTTTTCAAAAGCTAACACAAAATAATAGGAAAGTCTAAAATGCAGGAAAAAACCCCTATTTATTCACAAATTACACAAATACACAAATATTCATTACACTAAACAGCATACTGCCCAGCACTCAGGAAGCTGAGGCAGCAGGACAGCAGTGAGCTCAAGGATACCCTGGGCTACACAGCAAGACCCTATCTCAAAAAACAGAAAACAGAGTACTGAAGAGTCTCTAGCTACCTACCCTCGTCCTTTGAGAATACTCCTTATAAAAGAAAAGAAAATAATATTTTTATCATTCTAAAACTGACCTGTTTTACCAGGGCTAGTTTTCTGATTATATAATTTAGGGCGAAAATATAATACTTTTTAAGGCAAGTGCTAATTTTCTGGGGGTGGGGGGAATATAAGCATTCTACTAAAACAAAATTTTTTAAAATGTAGACCATTATTTACATGCTCCAGCAGTGTTAGGTAAGATTCCTTAACATTAAGTAGCAAACTTTCATTTCTAACAAATAAAATTCATTTTACACCAATAACATTTTCCTGACTGTCAGAAGTAATAGTGCTCAACAGTTTCATATAATTGTACTACAATATAAAAATAATAATAATTCACATTAGCAATGATAGTATTTACTTATGAAGGTGACTATGGCCTTTCAATAAACTACTATTTAATATATATTTTACAGTCATGGGATTATACCATAAATCACATTCCAGTTTCTATGTATTTTTTACTTAAGTTACTCACTCAGTGGCACTCTAATAATAACACCCTTTTTATTTTTAGAATACAATTTAGCTATTTAAAATTATAATTATTTTCATTTGAATATTTCCAAAATACTTATCTGAAAAAGTAATTCTAAATCATCAGCTGGAAAGTTACAAGCAAGAAATAAGTAACTTCAGGGTTTTTAAGGCCCTTAAAAATAAGAAAAAGAAATACCGCTTTTGACTGGGATAATAGAGAATTACAATTTATTATGACATCTGCAAAATATGTATTTTAAAAATGACTCACTTGTGGTAAGGACTACCACAACAATGAATAAAAATAAAACCATCATTCTGACATTTATCAGTATTTCACACATCTAACAAATGCTGGAGACAACTACCACTGTTATGACTTCAAGGTCAAAACAGAAGCACTAATTAGAATGAAAGAACCTAAAAAATGTTCAGAATGCATGCATTTTCAACCAGACTTTCAAAGATTCCACATATATGCAAATGATAACTTTGAATCAAAATGAATGTCAGAAATTCAGTGTGAAGATTTACTTCACATTGTGAAGTAAAATTCATTGTGGAGACTTACAAATAGCTTAGGTGAGCAAGAAATATGAAAGAGTGGGAAGAAGCAAGCAGCAAATTTCAAAGAGGGAAAGTAATCACATATTTCATCAGAAAACAAAAAGTCAACATTTTAAAACTATTGGCCATCAAGGTTTTCACTATTTAAGAATACACCCTTCAAGGTGTATCTTTAAAATGTATTCATTCCTATATCCAAATTAAACTGTTCAGCAATCAAAACATTTCACTGAGAATTCTAAACTTAAGCACTGTTTAATTTTATATGCCTCAGCAGAAAACCCTATTTTACAGATAGGAGTTTTGCCCTCTTTCTCCAGGGTAAATGTATCTATGTTAAACTTTAAGTACCAAACAGACAGACTCAACTCGTCTGTACACACTGCTTCATCGGGCTTTGATAAACACAGAGCTGTCTGGTGCGGTGGCACCCTCTTCCTTCTCGGTTACGGTCTCTACAGTCCCAGAAGCTGACACAATAACCATTGTTTTATTAGCTGAAACTGTCTTCTGTTTCTCAGCAATAGCTGCACAAACAGCAACAATCTCATCACTTTCAAAGTCATAGTCAGGAATCGACTTTGGTGAAAAATGTGTTTCCTCAGATGGTGTTTCACTTTTTTTAATCCTCTGTGCTACCTTCTGCTGCTCCTGCAGGGTTCTTGCCCAAGAAAGGTCTTCTTTCCATATTTCAGGATTCATTGGATAGATGTGAAGGGCTACTTGGAAACTTCGGATTGCCTAGAAAAAAAGAGGTCACAAGTTTTCATTTGTTTTGTTTCTAAAACCCACTATGTTTAATACAGTCATGTGTGTGTGTGTGAGTGGGTCGGTATTTATGGTGGAAAAAAATTTTCACTTGTGAGCCATCTTTCTTTCGTCTGAAAACTATCATTATCGATCTCATTACTACCAAAATAATTATCAAGACAGGCATGGTGATGCACACCTGTAATCCCAACACTCAGAAGGCTGAAGCAGGAGGATTTGCCACAAGTTTGAGGCCAGCCTGGGCCACATAGTCTCAAAAAACAAAAAAAATTAAAAACTAAAATTATCATTATAAGAAGGAAACTAGAAAAGGAACCAAAAGATCCAAATAAAATTTCTAGTAAAAGATTTGTAAAATATTAAAATATTAAAGT